TACTTTTTTTATATACCTGATTCTATTCATATCAGTGTTAAGTATAATTAACTATCAGAAAAATCACATATTAAATATGGTTCCTTGTTCAACCTTTATGATATCCAAAATCATGGAATTTGCATACGTTGCTTATCTTTCCACATTCGTATAGGGACACGCTAACCTGCCAAGTTCAAAGCAGGATTATGTACACAGACAAAATTCAGACATTAGAACAGTCCTTTTTAATATTCAAACTACATTTCTCTTTTAACACACTGATCAGAACTATCGATTACATGTTTAATTGATAAAAATGATCTACTATTAGCAAATAAAGGAAAGCTCTGTTTGTTCACTCTGATCATTTTTAACACATAATGCTGGATGTTAAGACTTTTTATGCCGTCTCAGAATGATGACAGGGGAAGCTGGGTTGACTTCAATCGCTCTCTGTCCCGCCTCTGTCGACACAATACATACAAGGTCCTGAATAATCAGGCCCAACTAAACATTGGACGTTGAATAGACATGCGGATCATGTCCAATTCTGGTCCAATTTACATGATTAATAAATATAATTTTGGCATGGCTGTGGTCTATGCCTCTGCTGCAGCAGGCTCAAGGGGCAGTGCCAACAAAGATGATGAGGCAGCTGTGGCTCATCTGTGACACCAGGATCTGGAGAGGTGTGGAGTCAGCGCAAGAGCTGTGTAGACTGGGCCATCGGAGGGAGAAGCGCAGATACTGGCACTGGTGGCCAGTGTTGGTCAAGTTACTTGAAAAAAGTAATCAGTAACTAATTACGGATTACTTCCCCCAGAAAGTAATCCCATTACTTTACTGATTACTTATTTTCAAAAGTAATTAATTACTTAGTTACTTAGTTACTTTTTAAAAACACGATTTACAACCTGAATAGGTGATAAAGCAATAGATCTTTCAGCCCAATTCTACTTTTTCTACATAATCCATCATACAAAATGTAATCAAATGGAAAGGTCCCTTTTTAAAACTTGTTTTATTAGTTTTAATCTTTTAACTTTATGCATCAAGCAAAAATTTAATTATATGCAACATTCTCTGACTGGAAGAAATTTGTTTAATATTTAAACCTATTTTCTGCACATTCCAGCACATAAAATATTTTTTTTGTGTGTTTACACTCACTCTTTCAAATAGATGCAAGTAAAACACAGCAGAAAATAAATAAAGTCAAAGACTAGCGGTCCTGTTGCTCTATTTTCACCTGTAAAGCAGGAGTAGGGTAGGCGGAGGTTTACCCTGGTGCAGGTGTGCCGCAGCGGTCAGTGAAGAATCCGCGAGTTTCTCTGTGAATTTCCCATTACGTCGTTGCGCACTCGGTGCTTGCTTGGAAGTTTAGGGGTTTTTTTCGCTGTAAAAAGAAGTTTTCTTCCCACGCACAACGGACGCTAATGTTTTTGTCACTTTTTATGGAATCAAACTTAAAGTAAGGTCAGTACTGAGACGGGAGTGTCCATTGATGAAGGTGGGGCAGGTGTTCCACATCACCGGGTCTCTGGGACCGTCCCCTGATCCAGGATGGACGTACAGCATTCCGGTAAGGTGTCATTGGGGTATACACTAGGCTGTGGTGGACACAGGCTACACACAGACTCTGGTCCACCAAAGCCTGGTTCAACCCAGGGCATTGTTGGAGGTTTTAGTAGGTGGATGTCATATGTGTTCATGGGGATGTTCTCAAGTATCCCATTATGCCACTGCATATTAAATTTAAGGTTAAATGTATAGAGTAAAGGCTGCAGTTAGGTCCCACCTGTTGCATCCCCTAATTCTAGGAACAAATTGGCTGGGGTTTTATAACCTTTTGGGGTGGTATGTTGGGATGTGATCATGACCTTTAATAGCAGGTCATGATCACATAGGGAGGAGGAGATGACCCCGCCAGCTCCAGTGATTCACTCCATGGAGGATTTACCACTAGAACAGTTTGGTAAAAAAAAATAAAATAATGGTCACTTGATGTGCCCTTTACTGGTAATGGAGGTCCCATTTGAACACACTGGCAATGGCTTGTCGGTCATTTCAACAGAGTACGATATTATTTTGTATTAGTTCTGGTGGATTATACAACGCAATTTCCCGAAGAAGTGCTGCTGTGCACCATTTCTGACAAGTCCCTCGGACCCTCCAGCAGAGACAGACACGGGGTCAGGAGGTACAGAGATGCCTGGCTGAACAGGTAGCTTAACAGACGGCGGAGCTAATGATTGAGCTGAATGCTGAGCTAATAACTGAGCATATGAGCAGGTGGGGAAACATGAAGAGTCCTACGTTCAGTAGTTTAAAACACAGGAAACTGTCTTCAATTCTTCTGAACTGGAAACATCAGTGTCTGTTCTTGTTATTCCAGACTTAGTAAGAGCTCGCGCCAGACAGTCAATCTCACTCACCGAGATGGAAAAATCTGGAGTCAAAGTCTCAACAGACACTAGTGGAACCGTAGATCCTGGCACCACGCTTTGTTCAGTGGGTGGCGAATCCTCATTAACTGTCTCGGCCAGCTGCTCCAAGGAAGTCAGAGGTTCCAAGCGTGGTGAGGAGCGCTGTCGGACGATGCTTCCTCCTGGAAGCAGGAGTGGTGAAGGAAACAGAAAGAGCCGGAGCAGCGGTAACCGGCTCCTCATACCCTGACCACATTTATGCCAAGCATGAGCCAGGGGAGGAGTGGTCAGAATAGGACGTGAAGAAAGAGGGATTCTGATGCTGCAAATGCAGCATCTGCAGCGGTGCCGTGGAAAGCTCAGTCTGCTGCAGCAGCGGCAAAGAAGTGGAGGTAGAGATAGAGAGAGCAAGCTCGCCAGCCCTGACTTGCTCCCTCAAGGCAGGTACAGAGCTGCCCAGCACAGTGTGTAGTTAATGTGTTGTCTTGTGTAGTTAGTGTGTAGTGTTGTGGATAGTTTTGTGTTGTGTAGTTTTGTGTTGTGTATCAGAACAATGAGGCGACTGCTGTCTCCAGGTAGAGAACAGGAGTGATACACCTGCTGCTGTCAGACCTGCAGGTATTAGGCTGTGATGTTCTCCTTTATAGTGGGCAGAAATATTTGGAGTGGCACAAATAATTTGCATTTCATTCTTATTGAATGCAGAACACGTGATTGGTCTGTAAATGGTTTGAAATGGTTATTTAAAAAAGGGTAAAAGGTAAATGGATGCAAATAACTTTGTTTGCAAAACTTGTGCATATGATTTTAAAATCGACATTTAAATTTGCATTTAAAGTTATGAAATATGATTCATTAAACATGTTTGTGGTTGTTACAGTAAAAAATATAACTTTTTCTACTCGGATTTTATGTTTTTTGTCTAATTTTAGATCAATTGTGTTAATACAGTATGTCAAAATGAAAACATAAGTTTAAATTCAGACACGTGAGGTTGTGCTGAAAAGAATGATACCAAACAAGGCAAAGTAAATAGTTTTTAAAGGTGAAATGTAGAGGGAAAATCAAAAGTAGTGAAAAATGGCCAATTATACCGTGGACCGCAGAGAGTTAAACTTTTTTTTTTTAAAGTAGCGCAATAGTTACTTTTCAAGTGATTAATTACTTTTTGAATCTTTTTACTCAGTTACTAACTCAGTTAGTAAATTTGAAGAAGTAACTAGTAACTATAATTAATTACTTTTTCAAAGTAACTTGCCCAACACTAATCGCAACACAGACCAAAGGAAAACACAGGGCTTAAATACACAGATGGAGCAATCAGGAAATGGGAGACAGGAGGGAAACAAGGGAGGCCTAAGGAGACAAGGGAAGCAGAGACATGGACTTTCAAAGTAAAACAAGAAACATAACACAGAGACGCGGACTTGGCTAGGTGATACAGCTGACAGGGGAGACAGAGCAACTATGGAACATAGACAGAAACCAGGAGAATAAGAACTCTAACGCAGAAACCAAACGACTAGAAATTATAGATAATAACAAAATCAAAGTTCAATAATAATGCAAAACTCAAACACAAATGTTCACACAGGTGTACAAACAGACACACACTATCTTGGTTGGGTCCTACCTCTAAACATATCATGCATTATTAGTTGTGATGCTGCTCAGTAGCATTCAACAACATGCGGTAGTTATAGCATGTTGGTGGTTACGGTGAGTTCCTTACTGTGTTATTTTCTTCTTAAGCAGGTGGTTAAGCAGATTTCCAGTATCTTCTCTCTCTCTATCTTTCTACCCCATTTCTCCTCTATTTTTACTGTCTTCCCAACTTCTCTTTCTTTCTTCTTTCTCTTTCCCATCCTGCAATCCTGTCCATTTTGATTGTAATAACTAATAAACTACGACACTTAAGTACACCAGTATAGCATAAGGTCCATTCGGGAAAATAAATCTGCTCTTGGCTTTCAAACAACAATTATGAATGCTACAGTGCCGGACAGGACAGGCAAAAAGAAAAAGAAAAAGAAAAAAGATGAGTATTTTTGCTTTTGAACTGCACAAATATATGTGTTGAGCTGTACTGACTATATCTGCAAATGTACCACTAGAATATTAGGAATGTTTAGGTGATTCATGTTTCACTGTACTGTTAGGATACTATTAAGCAGCGAGCGCTCTGTTGGTAGTTAAAATGGAGCTCAGCATTGTGTCTGAGATTGATTGATTTATCCCCTTTTCAGGGTGTAACATTGTCTATGTTACTGTACTCAATGGATATAATTCCCCCCCATAATAAATATAACACGTAAGTGAAGTACTGCAGCTCACCCTTTAATTCTTTTCTGAGCCCATCCCACCCACCAGGGAAAGAAATAATAAAAATGTGTCATTACTTTATTTTAGGACCACCATTACTATGAGATGTATTTTTTTTTAATACATTGTGACTAAATATTATGAGTGGGTTTTCATTTCACACCCTGAAGAGTGTTTATTATAAATAAACATATTCATGAACATATTTACATGTCAGTCTATTATTTGAATATAAACAAAAGTCAAAAGTCAAAAATGACAAAGAGCATCTTCAGTTTTTAAAATAAGCTTTATTTGAATTTTAAAGATTTATTTGAAGTCATATTTCTGGGATTTACAGCTTAGAATCTGCATGGATAGCGATGAAGGGGTCCTCATCTTTGCCACTGATTGAGAAGGTGGCACGGCCATCACCACCAACACTGACCTGCTTCCCAGTGCATCTGCTTCCTTCCTTCTGACCAGAAATGACATCACAGTAGGTGCCACCAGGCAAGCCTGTGTTCAGGGTGACATTCAGGTCCCTGAAAGCGAAAATAGAGGTCAACCCAGTGTTAAAGTCGTAAGAGTGCCACCATTAAACTCCATTGCTTTCTCATATTTATTCTGCTTTCAAGACAAAAAACCCAAATATAAAGCAATATAATACCACTTGGGCAAAGGAAGGCATTACATATCTGGTAAAAAAAAAAAAAAACATAAATAAAAAGGGATGCAGTTCATCTTTCTCATTCTCTGTTGAGAGAGTTTTACTGACTCAGCAGTCAAATCTGCTACCAAAATAATACAGTGCTGGTTTGGAGTAACAGCAAAAGTTATAGACATTTCATTTCCAGATGTCTTTTGTGGATAATATGATAATTATATAGATCCTATAATAATAATTATATAATAACTAATAATTATATAATAATACTTATTATTAATATTATTATTATTATTGTTGTAGTAGTGTAGTCTTGAAAAGGCTTGAAAGCTTAAAAACTACAGACATTTTTGAACTAAGCTTTTTTAAATTACACACACACAAACAAAGACAACATAATCCTTACCAGTCCTCATTGTTAAAAACGATGAAACCACGGTTACCACGCCCAAAGGCAACCTGGTTGCCCTGGTTGTCCCACCAGTTGGAGTGAGGCTGTCCATTGACCACATTACGGAAAGTGACCATGTTACTAAATAGGGGAAAGGACAAATTACAATCATAATACATGATATCTACAGTTTTGATGGTCTAGCTGACAAAGCAGAACAATGTGAATTTGCATAAGGTCAGTGTGCTTTCTCCTGATTTCTGTGGACTTACGTGATCTGACGCCATCTATGCTCACAAACCCATCCATTCCCACAGGTCTGGTCAGAGTTGATAGTAACAGGCTTGGTTGACCCATCACCATTGCTGGGGGGTCCAATCCAGTCATTCTGATCCTATAATACAAGCGTTAATGAACGGATTCAACAAAAAAGTGTCTGATACACACTAAATATTGCATCATTCCATGACAAGTGAACATACTTGTCCGTTTACAATGTTGCGGTCCCACCGATAGCTAGACATGACCCTGGTTACACCGTAAGGGTGGGCAAGCATGTAAGCAACAGCCATCTTGTAGAGCCTGGGGTCCCAGAATGTAAGGATGGATGCACCGCCAGCACCATGGCCTCTTTGGTTATCATGGTTGTCAGTGAAGACGAGAGCATTCCCGTTAGCCATGAAACCCCATCCTTCTCCCCAGTTCCTAAACACAGCAAAGAAAAAAAGAAATGTATTTTATTATATATATATTTTTAAATTATAGCTGATCATTACAAAGTCTTTGTTCAGACCAGTACTTAAGATAGAGTTTGCACTGGTTGCTCTAACTACACTCCTGTAAAATTCTCATTCTCAAAAAGTCAACATATAATTGATGTGAAATTGACTTTGACAACCAATTTGTCGGACCCTGCACCTTTATAGTAGTTTACAAAGAGTATTGTTAACAATGTTAACAATGACATATCTCTGTTATATCTTTAAAGAAATCTTTTCTATTAAATTGTGTAAAATTTTCCTTAGATATACCAGTAGAAACAACACATACTTAGTGTAGGAAAGCTTCTGGTTGTTCCACTTTCTGAAGACCTCTCCCATTTTGGCACCATATTTAAACTCAGTCACTCTTCCAAGGCCGACGTACTCATTAGACGTAATGGGCTCACCTCCCAGATCAATAACCTAGAGTGAAAAGCGCGAAATTCATACCCCAGGAAGCTGATTCAGTTCAAAATGTATATCATCCATAATCTGTAAATTAGAAAGGGGTTAAATAAATAAAATCACTTTGCTTCTCTTTCTTTCTGTTATTACCCTAATCTTCATTTTGTATACCATTATGTGCTTTTGTTTTCTTGCCAAATAGTAGTTACTTTAATGTTCTCCTTGAATGTTTGTATTTGTAAATGCTTCTCTTCCATGCTGTTTGATGGCTGCTCTAGATACAGTTTGTCCAGAAAAACTGACCTCCTGAAAGATGAAAGGTCTGGCGCCACCGGGGAACCACTGGGTGTTAAGGTTGTTCAGACGACCATAGACAGCACTCAGATCACCAGGCCACATGTGCTTGCAGGCATCCACTCTGAATCCAGCCACACCCATGTTAATCAGCTTGTTCATGAACTCGGCCACTTTGCCCCTAACATAGTCTTTCTCCAGGGCAAGATCCAGCAGACCCACCAGACGGCAGTCACGTACCTACAGCAGTTCATATTTATTCAGATTGTGGAGCTAAGAAGCAAGACATTGTACACTGTGCTGGAATTGATATGTTTCTACTATAGTATTCTCAATTAGAACGTTTAGCGAAATCAATGTAGTCATTCTAAAAGAAAGATGAGAAGGTAGAGACAAATGTCTCTTCTCTAACTAAAGATGACTTTTTTTCCAGCTTTGCCTGTTTTGAAAATTTAGTTCAAATTAGGAAATTCAATGAACAACAAGGAATATGCTCTGGTTGTGTTTAGCATCTGAAAGTATAGACTATATTATTAGAATATTTGGTAATAGGAAAATCAAGTATAAAATATATGCTTTAAAATTTTGCAATTTATTTGATCTTAATAAGATTTGCTATTTCAAAACGGCATGTTTAATAAACTAAAGCTTCAGTCTTCCTGGTGTTGTTTACTCCCTTTTTCTAAAAAAAACCCCCAAAAAGTCAGTAATGACTAAAATTAAAATGCTATCATAACCGTATGTGTATTTTAAGGCTTATCTTACAAATACATTTTTAAAAATGTATCATTTTTTTCATGCTATTGTTTTCCTTGGTCTTGTCATGTGAAAAGTCAGACAACAGGGATATTATTTGCTGTTTATATAATTACATAGACAACAAAAAATTTGGATCCCCTACAATGGTCAGGTCCTACTCGTTTATATAATTATTATTATTTTTGTAAGGTGATTGCCAAGCAATGTGATGGCATCATAATAATCATAAATTATTATATTCATGTTTTTATTGACACAATTAAGATGCTAAATTGTTCATTTTAGCCTGTTAAAGGTAACTGCTAGACAACATAATTACGTCTAAAAAAATTGTCTAAAAAATTTAATTAAAGAAATTAAAGAAAATTTCAAGAGTTTAAGATGTATCAGTGTATATAATTTACTTCCTCCTCTCCTGATTCTGTAGGTAGACTTTGCCAACAGTCAAAAAAGGAATTTGGTGTAAAACAGCCAGAAAGGTCAAAATAATAGAAATCAGTATGAAGAGCTTAAGTCAATGTTTAAATGAGTAAACTTTTAAAATAAAGTTTGACTTGTCTGTGTGACATTTCTTACCTGATATATATCACCATAGTTCTCAATTTCACCACTCCCAGTCTTGCATTTATTGTCATTGAAGTCCAAGTTAGAATACGGGACACTGGGGAAGTCTTCTTTGCCAGCATCAAACCAGCTTCCACATGAAGAGTGGGTTCCTGCTCCGCCACCAGATCCACACATGTGGTTGATAACAGCATCCACATATATGTTAACCTGTTAGTTAACATAACTAGGTCAGTTTTATTCATTTTCTTTGCATGGTCATTTCAAATCATGCTAATTTGTTAAATTGTTGATCTTCATGAATTTATTCTAACCCACCAGGTACTGTTTCTATAATGTTGTTCTAAAAGTATCATAAAAGGAATCTGGTATTAACTTGTTGTCAAATGACGTCTGTCAAATGAAGAAGTCTGAAGTCTGCAATACCTAACATTAAATGTCAACTGTAATTTAGTTTACCCCAACATTGTTGCAGCGGGAGATCATGTCTTTCAGTTCTGCCTCACTGCCAGATCTTGAGCAGAGGTTGTAGCTGATTGGCTGGTATCTCTGCCACCAGGGCCTGAAGGGACTGTTCACCAGAATGTGTTCATTTGGAGGAGAGATCTGAGGAGTGCAAAGGAGAAAAAAAACAACAAGTGTTGTTGTTATTTGGCGCTACAGTCAGGACTTCCTTGCAAAAAAAAAAATTCTCAGTGCTAGTGAGTCAAAACATTAGTAAAAGATAGTTTAGACGTCATTCTAATGAGAAAGTAAAAAGCATAGTTTGATAATATTGATAATAGTTTTGATAATAATAGCAAAAATAAACACACACAGACACATAACACACACATGTGTCTGTGTATGAAACAGGAAAAGAAAGGATTGTCCAATGTGTCCCTTAATGCTCAGCTATACAGACCTGAACTCCGCCAAAGCCTTTGGGACCCAAGAAGCGTTCACACTCTTGAGCAATGTCAGCCCAACGCCATTCAAACAGGTGGACGATGGCAGTCCTTCCATTCTTAAATTGGGGGTTGTGCTGGGCAAGGCCAAGCCCGAACAGAGCCACCAAGACGAACAACTTCATGCTTTTGATCGATGAGAAAACCAAAAGCAGTCACACTCTGCCGCAGTGTTTTCAAAGTATTTATACTCACTTTTTCCTCTGCTGAACCAATGAGAGAATGGCATATATCATTGGGTGTGGAAACCAAACAGGTGCATTTTTATCACACTTTCTTGCTTTTGTAAAACAAGCAAAAAGGGGGAAAATCCTTGAGGCAAGATTAGAAAGGCAAACATAAGGTACATAATATCCAACCATCCACCCATTTTTTTCCACTTATCTAAGTCAGGGTCAGAGGAGGTGCTGGAGCCTGTAGAGTGAGGGGCAGAGTATGTCATGAACATGTCACAAGTCTGTCACAGACATACAAACATTAATGATCACATTCACATATGGTCATTTTAGAACTGCCAGTTAATCTACCCCCATCGTCATATTATGACATTGCTCAGCACGAACTTAATCATGCCTCAAAAGAAACACTTTTTTCTTTGCTTTATCTTGTGTTGTTATTGTTTTTATTTTGGTTTTCTTGTTCATGTACGTGTGTGTGTGTATGTGTGTGTCTTGTGATAGCAGTCATTTGTGGGAAAGTGAATCACTCTGAGCACTATTTACTCTGGGGTTTAAAAGTGGAAAAGTAAACAGGGATAATAGCGCCACTGTCCTTGAAAATTCGATAGATATGTTTAGCTGTGTTCAGCAGGAAAAATAGCAGACTGTGTTTTGCTCACATCCCCTTTTAAAAGGAATGAAAATGTATGAATTTTACTATGAAAATTAGAAGAGTACTTTGCTTTTCTCAAAAAATTAAGAAAAATATAATATTTAAAGATGAATATTACTCAGTAGTTGTGATGTTTTATCAAAAAATACTTTGATGCCATCTGTAAAACAGTCAGATTAAATGTAGATGAGGTAAGGTAGCAGTACCATTTTTAAGTAGATACTTCAAACATTTATGCATATATACGCTATTGTAAAACTTAGTGCAAAAATAGTTTTTGATTATTTTTTTTAGTATTTGTTCACCCAGTTCAGTAACCATGCTGCATACGGAAATCGAATTTTGCTTACAAATCTGGAATCTTGGGATGAAGCAAAAAAAAGCACAGAAAAGGTTTTTTGGTAATAAAATACTATGACTGTCCTTGACAGTTTGATATTATTAGTATTTAGCAGGAAAATTAATGTGGAGTCACGTTTGAGATCAAGCAAATAAAAAGCAGTGTGTGTGTGCGTGTGTGTGTGTGTGTGTGTGTGTGTGTGTGTGTGTGTGTGTGTGTGTGTGTTGATTTCCAAATGTGACTAACATGCACTTCAAATATAGCCACAGCATTATAGCCCATTAAAGAGTTTTTTAACCACTTATTCTAGCTCAAGTGATTTTGTGAGATTTATCTTGCATTTGCTAAAATATGGTGACAAAGAAATTGTATTTTTAAAACTTCGATTTTTCTTCACTCAGGTCAATAACCAGATGTCATATCCACAAATTTAATTTTGGTTTTCAATCTGGAATCTCTTTCGGGATCAAACAAATAAAAAGCGCAGAAAGGTGTGTGGAAAGGTGAATGGAAAATGCAGATTGGTAGAATTGCCTAGATATACAGTAAGTTTTCCACAGTAACAAAGTGTTTTACAAACTCAGCAGTCTTATCTGAAGGAGTTACCAATAGAGTGTGGTTTCTTTGGGAGTAACAGCAAAACTGCAGTTTGTGGCATTTGCAGATGTCTTTTTTGCATTATATAGTAGCAATAATAATAAAATACAGTTAATAGTGCTCTTTGTGAAACAGTTTTCACTTTCTGAGTAATGAAAAACTAAATGCTTAAAAATATAGATGTTTTTCTTTTTACACTTTTTCATAATTGTAGAATACGTTTGATTTGGAAATTGTTTGTCTTTTTGGTAGATTATCTGCATATCAACTATATTTTGATATATTCTCAAACAGTCTTCTTCTAAGACATTTAAGCAATTGCTTTATTTAGATGGGTGAAATTATTTTTATTGTAAAGCAGTAAAATATTCGGAAGCAGTCAGACACAAAGTCCTTAGAGAAGAAAATCCTTATCAGTCATCAATGTTAAAAATTATAAAACCACCTTTTCCTCATCCAAAGGTTGCTCTGGTTGTTCCATCAGTTGGAATGAGGCTGTCCATTAACTACATTACATAAAATGTTAGACAGGGGGATAGGACAAATTGCAAACATAACACATGATATCTGTAGTTTTAATAATTCAGCTGACACATGAAGAACTCTGATTTTAATTTGGATAAAATCAGCATGTTTTCTCTTGATTTCTGAGGACAGCATCTATGCTCATGAAAATCATTTTAAAAAATCGTTAAAATCATTAAATGGCAGCTGTAATTTAGTTTACCCCAACGTTTTTACATCAGGTGATCGCGTCTTTCAGTTCTGTCTCACTGCCAGAGCTTGAGCAGAGCTTGTAGCTGATTGGCTGGTATCTCTGCCACCAGGGCCTGGAGGGATTGTTCACCAGAATGTGTTCATTTGGAGGAGAGATCTGAGGAGCACACAGGGAAAAATAAATACTGATTCTACTATTAGGGGGGAATCAAGTTAGTTTACAGAATTTACTATAAAAATTTCTTTGGGCTTTTTGTTTTAAAAGTTTGGAAATGGTAACCTTGGCTATGTGGCTTAACATTGTCCTTAAGGTATAAGTTTTTACTTAAAGACAAAGAATGTTTTAAAGACTTTTAAATACTTTTTCTCTTGTGACAGTCAGCATTTTTTTAAAATAGAAGTCAGTATTAGTGAGTCAAAACATTAGTAAAAGTTAAAAGAGTTAGTATAGTTAAACATAATTTCTTAGAATACTGAATGAGCAGTGTGATTAGATTTACATGTTAAGTAAGTCCTGTAAATGTCATGCCAGAGGCAACACTGCCAGCATCTCCAATGGTAGGTTGCATTTTATTTTCTTATTTATATATACTTAGACACTGACAATGCAAATATTATTTAAATCTGCGAACAACAAATTAAAAATTACTATAAAATCACTTAACTCACCTTTTTCTACCCATCCTTGAGTCATCACACTGGGCTTCTCTGAGAAGTCAGAAATTTAGCAAGCATAACCTTTATCCATTAAAATGTATTTTATGTATAAACAATAAATATATTTTAGCATTAACAATAGCCAGCATACTGATGGATTAACTATTAGAGAAACAATTAACAGACACAAACACATAACATACACATTTATGTGTGTGACAAAGGAAATGAATTTTTAAAAGCTTCTTTTTCAGTCGCTTCAATATGCCATATACACAAATTTAATTTTGATTAACAATCTGGAATCTCTTTCTGGATCAAGAAAGTAAAAAGCCCAGATAGGTATAGGTTGTATTTGTGTGTGTGTGTGTGTGTGTGTGTGTGTGTGTGTGTGTGTGTGTGTGTGTGTGTGTGTGTGTGTGTGTGTGTGTGTGTGTGTGTTGTGGCAGATATTTGTGGGAAACAAATCACACTGTGCACTATTTACTTTGAGTTTAAAACGTGGAAAAGTAAACATCTGAGTAATAGCTTCACTGTCCTTGACAATTTAGTAAACTTATTTAGCTGTGTTCAAATAGCAGGTTGCATTATGTTCACATCTTCTTTTTATATAAAATCTAACTGTATGGATTAAAGTAGAAGAGTGTCTTATATTTCTCACACACAAAAAATATATAATATTAAAGAGGAATTTTGTGACCGTACTTTAAAGGTGCAGCTTGGAACTTAAGTCTCTGTATCCACAATATAAATTATTATTTTCAATAGTTTTCATGTTTTATCAGAAAACACTTTCATGCCATCTGTAAAATAGTCACATTAGACAAAGATGAGGCATGTCAGCCCTGACATGAAGATGGAGGCTTGAATGGAGCATGAGTGATGTGTGGGGGAGAGGTGGTTTGCAGGAAGGCAACTGCATGGAAGAATGACAGATGTGCAGTGAGATTTAAAGTATGCCAGGTGAAGGCTGATTGGCCTGAAGAAGGCCAATGATTGGACTAGACCCATGATGTCACAATCAGCTTGACAGCATGGGAAAGTGGAAGTGATGCCAACACTTGGGAAGCAGACAGATGAGTGACTACAGATATTCCTTATTAACCTTATACATAAGCTTATGCACAGGAAGTTACATGGTGTGTAATAGTGTCACTTTTGCTAAAATGTGATAGAGTTATTTAGTTGTGTCTAGCAGGAAAATAGCAGGTTGTGTCTTGTCTTGATTTTCTCGCAAAGAAAAAATGAAAAAATTTAAATGTAAACCGCGAATAAATGGTGATCACACTTTAAGGGTCCAGACTAATAGCACTGTCAATAGTACTAACAATACTTTCATCCCTGAGGCAATATAGGCTACTAAAAATCTCAGATGAGTTTGGACTCGTGGACTCGACTTTGTCAGGCCACAGTAAAGTTATGGATAGAGTGCTGAATCTCCTTGATCAAATAATATGAGCAGGTCAAAAATTACGAAAAATAAAATAAAATAAAATATAAAAAAATAATCTTCATTTGAATTTTAAAGATTTATTTGAAGAAATAAGGGATTTACAGCTTAGAATCAGCATGAATAGCGATGAGGGGGTCCTCATCTTTGCTGCTTATTCAGAAGTGGGCACGGCCATCACTGCCTTCAGTGACCTGCTTCCCAGTGCATCTGCTTCCTTCCTTCTGACCAGAAATGATGTCACAGTAGGTGCCACCAGCCATGCCTGTGTTCAGGATGACATCCAGATCCCTGAGATGAAAAATAAAGATCAACCACATGTTAAAGCCACAACAGTGCCACAATTAAACTGCAATCCCATCTTATTTTTAATTCTGTTTGCTACAAACGTAAAGCATTAAAATAACATGTTGGCAAACAAAGGCAATACTTATTTGGCAAGAAAAATAAAAAGAGAGAGAGATACACTAATTAGCTCTATTTTGATATGTGCCTGCTTCTAAGATATTTAAGCAACTGCTTTATTTAGATTGGTGAGGTTATTTTTATTGTAAAACAATATTGTATTCGGCAGCAAACACACACA